ACAGGCACACGGTCAGACCAAAGGCAAATACGAGGGCATGTGAGGGAAGAGATAGACAGAGAAAGAGAGAGCAATAAACAAAGTGACTGTTGTGTTTATTCATCATGCATCAGAGGAAACTGATGAGGACCTGCCAGTCCCTTTAGCTCTGCTGGCTTTTTATGGCACCATCTGGCATTTACACCATAGAGTCAGCTAAGCCATTTAAAATCTTCTTTCTACCCCCGCACACCCCATTTTTCCCCCTCCTTCTTCTTCTGTGCTTTTTTCACAATGACATTCCTCCAGATCTGGCTGGACACAGCAGGGAGGGGAGTGGATGGACAGTAGGATGAAAGGATGTTGCATAAAGGAGGAGGGGAATGAAAGCTAGATCATGTAAGAAAGGCGAGAGATGAGTAGAGAAGTGGGAAAAGTAAGAGAGATTACCATTCCCCAGTTCCTGCTTATTCAGGGGTAGCTGTGTGGGTGATTATAAATCCACGCTGTTCTCAGTAACACCAGGATTACACACCCAGCCAGACCTAATCTATGTGCCCAACATCTGCCTCTGATGACACAAACACACGCACACACGCACACACAAACACACAGGCACACAGTCATACATGCACGTACAACACTCACATGACCATAGTGATTACAAATGCAGTGTCTCAAGCAATTTCATCGCATATATTATTCACAAATGCTTTAATCTTATGAGTATAATCAGACACAATATGCCTACACTGCTAAAACAAGGCAGCGGGGTGATGGGAAAATGGAACGTGAAGGGGTAAGGTCCATGAGTGACAAATTGAATTCACATCAAAAAGCTGCCCTTAGCAGTGTGTGACTGAGCAGTGAAAGCTGTGCACAAGCCCTATCCTGTGACCCCCCCCTGCTGTTTTAACAGATTATTACTATGGCAATCATCTGGCATATGCCTCCAAAATGGCTATGCGAGAGACAGGGAAGTTATCTGCTCTACCGTGTACTTCATGTCCTGTATTGGATTTTCTTACAAGATGAAAGTGTATAAATGTCATTGGATTATGCCACAGCTCAACTGGCATAGAACACTATCACATTTACATGATAGTATTTGTGTCAAACGTTGGGACACCTTTTTGGATGGAAAGATTTTTTTTCCAACGGCCACTTTCTGCAAACTACACAAAGAGCACAGAAAAAGCTGGATCCCATTATCCGGGATATGTATATTTTACCCTCAATAAGTCTTGTCCTAAGTTCTGATATGCGGATTTGACAGGGACCTTCGGTGTTAAAGCTGTTATTCTGTTGGATTTTATTACAATGCTACCCAGTTTGTTCTGATCTTGTAAAGAACTGCTGCCTTAAACAGAGGTGAGACAGAATGATGGATCAAAATTCTGCTGAGAAATTTGGCTGCATCACGGGCCTCAGAGCTCAGCTTGTTATCTACTTTAGCTCTGAGGAATTGGTTCACTGTCACCCTCGAGATTGCTGAGAACTGGCTTTGGTAAGAAGGAGGTCTGCTCTATATTGTGCTTTGATCATCAGGGTTTTTTTATGCTCACCAGCAGAATAAGCATCTAGATTTGCTGACGTCGCTACATCTGTAAGGTCCTTGTTAAACTACAAGCGTGAAATGCCTGTGGTGGTAACCTTTACAGTCCATCTGATGACTCCAATGAATGAATAATCATAATGCACAAGATTGTGCGACAAGCATGCCTTAAATGCAACTGGAGAGTACAAACCTTTGCCAGAAACAATATTTGCTGTTACACTTTAAGGCACTATTCCTAACATTAACATTTCCAATTAAAATTATTTCTTGATCGCAGACGAACTACTGGAATTAATAGCTTGGTATCGGTTGTCAGTTTTCTCGTTGTGGCTATAAAATGATAATATAATGGCAGGAACCCCAAATCCACATTATGCCTCACATCTCTTTAAATGTCCCGTGGTTTAAGGCCCATTTTCCACCAAATTTCACACAGATTATTTGAGCTTTTGCACCATATTATATGAGCTCGTAGACAAACCAGTCATACAGTGGATGTGTCCCAACAATCACTGAGCACAACAAAAACAAGTTACGTCCCAAACTATTATTTACAAAAGTTTTATATATGGCTAACAACACAACAAAACATATTTTCTGCAGTTAAATTTGTTTATCATTGATAAAGGGTCACAGGTTTCTCATTTTCAAATAAGCCATCAGCAAAAGTTAGTAAGTCATCTGCAAATGTAAATGCTATTTAAAACTAATTTTATAACAATTGAATTGGATTGAATTTGGATTAAAGAGCAGCAGACCACGATCCGCCTGGGCCGATCAATCGGACCAGGCGACACAGCAGGTGCGGTGATCGCTTAGAGGAGAGGAGAGAGCCAGGAGAGGAGCCATGCTGGCTCACCTTGGACTTAATTCTGCTCCTAAAGATCCGGTCTGTAGAAAATGGAACTTATGTTGACTGTTGTGCCCACATTGCTACTGAGACCTGCCCTATCAACATCCCAGATCAAGCACTCGGCAGGTGGTCCATGTTCCAAACTGTCAGTGCAAAGACCCCAGCAAGATGAGAGGAGGTGGACTCTGTGTTTTACATCGATGACGCTTGGTGCTTAAACGCAGTCAAGATGGACTCTGTTTCCCAAGTGTCAGACTGTTGAGTGTGAAGATGAAACTTTCATCTTTATCATCTGGTTGCTGCTGTTTACATTCACCCCAGATGAAAATTCAAAAAATGCCCTATGGTATGTTTGGAGTGTATACGTGTCTGTATGTATATAAATAACTGTATTGTTTTGTTTTATTTTATATGTTCATCATATTTTAATATAGGCACTTAATTATACGTTGTGTGTGTAGCACGAAGGAACTACAAATTTCATTTTGTTATGCAGCCTTGTGCTGTATAATGACTAATAAACAACCTTGTACCTTGAAAAATTTAGTTTTAATTACAGTGCCTTAAAGTAGTACACAGTCAGCCATCCTAGCTTTGAGCTAAATTCAGTCATTAGGATTCATCCTCTGAGGACCATAAATGTCTGCACACATTTTTGAGCAAATATTTTACAGGATAAGTGAAAACTTTGACCTGCCTGTGGCGCTAGAGGAAAATATTTCTTGGCATTCCATCCAATAGCTATCAAGACACTGCAGCCAAAATCTTCAACCTTGTGGTGTCACAAGAAGAAATATCAGGGGATCACCAAAGTCAGTAGCATTCATTCTCTGATGGCCATGGAAGTCATCCAATAGTTGTTGAGATATTTCAGTCTGACTCTGGACCAAAGTGTTTGATTGACCAACCAACAGAGTGATTGCCAAGACTCTAGCGTGGCTTACAATGACATGTTACATCGTAAAAGACCTTACAGAAAACACACAAACACTCCAAGCTCAACATAAGCACTGTCTTCATTTCATCATATACACACAACAAATTATTCGTAACAAATATTGACCCACATGGTTATAAGGCTTTCCTCATAGATACACAAACCTTTAATAACCACATTCTAATAATGACTTAATTTCAGTTTTATTATAATGAACTACGTTGTTATTACATGCTGTATCCATACTGAATTCTACTCAAGACTGTGACCTCCTTCTCCTCCAAACCTGTCATCTCAATAAGTGGTGCTGCAAAAAGATTAGATGTCTTTCTTTGCATCCATGACTGCAATACAAATATGCTTACACTTCTTACATTATTCCAAAGACACTAGCATTGCCAGAATAGAGTCCCCTTGTTTTCTTTACACCCAACACTCCAGACATTTGTTTTGGTGGCACCATCTGGTGATTTCAGCTGAACTCTCTGCGGAACAATGGCTCTGACTGAGTTAGCAAAGGAAGATTCATCAATATTAATAAAATCATGTTGTCCTGTAAAGTACAGTAAAAATAACATGGCCATATGGAGCAGCTACGTTACTGGTTCTTGTAAAGAAGTGTTGACACCTAGTTGTTGTGGCCAGTTTGTTAGAAAACCATCCACCCATTTCCAGTTAGTGCAAACACAGTAATTACATTGGCTATATATTCTTAAGTCTATGTGAAGCTTGTCCACCATGGTCAGCACAGCATTATCTGCTCGGCTTTGCAGTTTTCAATTAGCAGATTTATGCTTTGTGTTTTGTACCATTAATGCCATATACTTGATGTGTGATATTGTTATGCATTCATTCAGTCCCTGTCCCTGCTATTGAGTATTTTTTCTTTACAAAGAGTGTTTGGGTGTGTGTGTGTGTGTGTGTTTGTGTGTGTGCCAATCTGGCTGACCTCACAGCCAGAGATGTCTGTCTCCTGGCCATCACATCAAGCCTGTGGAACATATCACCTTGCTTTGAGGCTGACACGGGGCTGCTCTAATCTGTCCCTGCTGCTGTGCTTGAGGGCATCCGGTGCAGCCATACGCCCAGCAGTGAGGAGTTAAAACAAGTGAATGGCGCTGGCCTCAATGTGTCACCACTGGCACTGACAGTATCGATAATATATAAATCCACTGGATCTGATGGAGAGTTCGACTGCACTGTTGCCACCAGTTACCCACGTTAAGGATGAGCGGGATTAGACTGCCACCTCCACTTGCTCTGATTGCGCTGTGCTCAAAGTGAATCATAGTCCGGAGTCCAAAAATGGCACCCTGGTGGAGGCATGCACACACTGCTGAAGGATATTGGTTCAATCCATAGTGTATTGTGTATGCAATTGTAAGACTCCCGTAATATACCTTCAGCAGCTTTTTATGATTTATATGTTTTCTTTGTAAAAAGGTTACAAATGTACACACTTACATAACTTCAAACAAAGCCCTACATGTAATTCGATGCTTGCTTGTTATTGTTAATTATTGTGCTTTCAAACTATTCTCTCGCTCATCTGTGCCAATTGTCCACATAAGTCTGGGTGAGACTGATTGGACTTCCCGTGCCGACCCACCGCTGTGTGTACACTTAGAACAACTCCAAGCATTGTGCTAAGATCAAAGACAGATTCTGGGAAGTCACGCTGGGAATGGCCAAGGGAAAACGAGTGAAATCTTGTTTGCACGCACGCCTCGGCATGGTCTTAGGAGATGGAAGGAGAAAGTCGAAGGCAGAGGAGAGAGGAAGGGATAAACACTTAATGCCAAGTCGGAGGTAAAAATGTTGTTTATGAAGCCGTGTTTGTCTCCGTCCTCACTCAGTGGATTTCTCTACATCACGCTGTGTGTCTGACTGAGGGCTTCTCTGTGATATTTACCACAGTGCCTCTTCGCCACGCACAGCGGCGGTTGCGTCGTAGTTCAGCGCATGGCAAGGGCATCACAAATGGTTAGGGAAGACGATTTGTTCCTCCGTTTGCTCAGAGAATAGCGAATTAAATCAGAAAGGACTCCCGAGGCGCCACAATGGTTTGACATTTTAGAAAGGAATAGCTTTTTTTTCAATTGGGCGCATGCAGACGGATGAGAGATGCCAACCAGCAAGCAAGGGGCATTTGAAGAGGATGGGGAATTAATATATGAGTGGTCTGGACCTTCTTTTATGAAATATTTTCTAAACGAGAAATAATTTACATTTCCTCACCAGGGAGGAGGTGTGGCCCTGCCGCTTGTCCGATCAGCTTTTGGTGGCACATGGATGGATGACTTTTGTGTGAAGATCAAGAAAGCCAAGAGTCCGTGCAACTGTATATAATCACAGTGATCACCACATCTTATCAAGTAACTAACATCGCCTTTAAGTAGCAGGCTTGACGTGCGCTCTTGTGGAACTCAGGGAGGCACCCAGGTGCGCCCCATGTTGCATTTAGGACACACTGGTACCGGCGGTACCTGCGGGACTTAAAGCACAGTTGGGACTTCAAAGAAGCGTTGGGCTGTGGGCCAGTGATGCCGGACACATTCACGCTCATAAAGAACAGGACAGAGCCACGGCTGGGGCAGCTAGAGCGCACACTGGCCACGGAGGGGAGCGCCCGCCCCGCCTGGGTCATAGGTATCCTGGCCAGTGTGCTGATCTTCACCACCGTGGTGGACGTGCTGGGGAATCTGCTGGTGATCATCTCGGTGTTCAGGAACCGCAAACTGAGGAACTCGGGTAAGATCTTTCGTCCCTTCCAATGATATAGGCTAGAAACGTCGTTTCTCCAAATGTATGCCTATAGCCTATTGAAGTGTGTGAATTTGCATAATAATGTATGTGTCCCTGTGTTTGAAATGTATTCTGTAGTGAATTATGGGTAGAGTAAATAAAGAGCTGCTTTGTTTTGCTCTGCATTCTTTCTGTAAGCTGTTTCTGCACATTTCATGTTTTGACCCATAGACCTTTGAGTGCGCTTTCCCCAAAATAGGCTTCCACTGTCACCAATGAACCCAAAACCTATTCCAGCATAATTAAGTGCATTTTATGTAGCTTTACCATAAAAAGTAGACATGTAACTCAACTCATCCCACATACTCTGTAGTTTCAACTAAATGCCTCATTTTGAATTAGGTTGTCAGCCTTCTGTAAGCCTTGTAACTTAAAATGCAAAGGCTACCTTTTGGTTGACATCATCCAGTTTACCATAGGCTTCATATCTTGCTGAAGAGCATCTGCACAGGACACAAGGTTGCTAATAGACCGTGATGGCTGATGCAGTGATTTAATATGTACATTTTCAGTTCAGGGACAAGTATGTTGAAGACCCAGGGCTGGGCAATTATATCTTCACAACCTCGCAGTGTTAGAACTGTGCTCGCTCTCTTGCTTAACTCTTGAGCTCTTCACTGGTAAAGTTCAAAGCTGATCTTACTCACACTCACTATGTAAGAGCTGCAAGCACAGGTGAGTCTTTTGAAAAGATGAATATAGTGGTGTTGATGAACCTATTCTGATGTGAATGTGTGAAAACGCCCAGGAGGCTTCATGCAGCTACAGTGAATTATAATGCCAAATCATAAAGCATGGAAGTACTCTTTCACTGAACCCTTGCTTCAGGTAAAAAATAAAATGTACTCTTGGGGTTGTAATTCAACTCCTTTCTGATGAAAATGAAACCATTTAAAAATTTTTACTGTCTAATCATCCAGTTTTATTGGTTTACCAGCTAATTTGCCCCTCTTGTCAGTCTCTTGACTCACACTTATTGTTTACTGAAAATTGATGAAATAAATTATTTTTGAAAGTATCTTACCCTAATGGCATATTTAAAAAAACATGCTTAAAACAAATGTGAGTCTAAAACCTTGTCAAAGTGGATATCTTATGCAGTAAAGACTGCCACACTGTGCTGACTGGCTATTTTGTGCTTTATCAGGCAACAATTAGGGCAGGAAATATGCATTTATTTGCATAATTAGCCACTATTTTTCAGTAAGATGCGACCAGGAACCAAAACAACTACTTTCCTTTCATTTAAAGACATTATGAACCTCTCCTTGTATTTGTTCACATGGGAAAACATTTTTTTATTTTATGTGAGCCTATGTTTTCTTCAGTCAGATGGATACAATCATCACTGGAGCATTTGAATGCAACCCTGTCTTCAGAGTAAGACTCCCACATTCTGCACTCTAGCATGGATCTTTTTTAAACTAAGGCTTAGGTAAGGTGCAGCTTATTCATAGCTCTGAATCGCCATGAACCAAGGTTGTGTGTTTTCTGAAGCTGTTAAGAAAAGGAACTCCAAAAAGTTAAGAAGTAAGAAACATTTGTAAATTAGGAGCCATATGTCAAGTGTGATTTCATTTATGTGTAGCGGAACCTACAAACATCCTTTTAATTATTATCTTATTAAACTTTATACCCAGTGACAAACTTAAGATAGCTGCACTCACTGGTAATGTAAAGTAATCAAACATCTCACTTCATGAGTGAATAAGACTGAGACTGTGGCTTATTAAAATGAGAGTTTGTTGTTGTAACCAGAGAGCATGTTCAACATTGTTTTCTCTGCTGCCTTTCATTTTTACACCTGCACTACTTGCATAGAACTTTTTTAAAAATAAGACGTGCAGTCTTGGGAGTATGCTTATCAAACAGACTACTGTGAGTGCACACAGCCCTGTGGCCCGTCAGTGAGAATCAAAGAAATGTGGTAGTCTTTGTCCCACGTAAATAGCACACATTGGTATTCTATAAAAATCATCATATTGGATAAGATCATGTTTACCCTTTGACGAAACACATTTATCTGTCCACAGAGCCTGATTCAAGTGCATCTTGTGCTTTTAAGAGGTAGCGCTTGTGCCTTGGATGTTAGAGGAAAGGTGATCATGTAGATTTGTTACTGATTTAGGACTATGAGACCATTAAAGAGCTCAATGGTACAATTTGCATTCCAGGTCATACCTGTCACATCCACAATTTTGAGAACAATTGCCTGCACTCTGAAATCTGACATAGCTTCAGATTAACCCCCCGTCTACAATTTACCCTATAGAGACCACCCAATAGACCAGATAAGACTATATTACAAAATTGCATTTCAATTAAAATTACCTGCTTAATTTCTATTCAAGGAATTCTTGGATGTTGTGAGCTATACTTTCTCCAGAAGGAGTAACACATTGGTGTTTCATTTTTTGCCACTCACATGGCACATTTCTGCCTTAAAACTGATCTCTCTCAACCCAAACAGCCCACTCAGCAGTTCAGAAACCACGCTGAACCCACAGTTGTGAACTCGAAGGACGGCTACTGTAGATTGAAACTACCCACTCAACAGTTTAGATGGGAAAACACCTGACTTAACAGCATATAAACAGTCACAGTAGGAGCACAGGGTAGCTTACCCACGGCAGTTGTCAAAGTTTTGCATAAGTCCCTGCTGTGGCGGACTGAACAAAGTAAAACTGACCGCTGAGTGTTGGAACACAATATTTTGTCAGATGCCACGTTGCTGAGTGATGACTAACTGTGCTTTATTCTCACCTACCCACAAATGGGATATATTGTAGTAAATATTATAGATTCATTGTTATTCTGACACAGTATTTGTTATTCACACTCATCAAAACTCTGACATGTTGTTCACGTAACCAAGCTGTGTTAACATTGCTGAGGGGCCGCACATTTTTTCATTTTCTGCCCTCATACTTTCTCTGTCTTCTCAAGGACTCAGTGTTTAATTTAAATGGCTTTCTCTCTCATCATGTGCTATTGTACGTCAGCAAGCTTGTGCCGCAGACACACAATCACGCCAATGCATGCACTCATGAGCCATTAGAGCCATTTGTCCCCTGAAATTTGTCTTTTGAAAAGAAAGGTTTTGACTCAAACACAAGCGCTCTAACATACAGATGTGCCTGCTTGTAAAAAAAACATAAAGCATATTCAGGAAGATACAGTACAGTAGGTCTACTCATCTTATTGTGATATTATGCTGTATGAATGTGTGTGCGAGTATGTGAAAAGTGCTTTGTACAGTTGTGTGGGGCAGAGGTTTTTGTCCCCTGAGATTTGTCTGTGAAGGAGCTTAGGTGGTGCAAACCTTCAAAGGGAGTTATACAGGATCACATATTACAGAGACTCTCTTCACAGAGACTTTATTTACATCATATCGCCCCCCTTCCTCTCAGTCCTCTCCAGCTACTTTCCTCCAAAGCTCTCTGCCTCTACAAAAATAATGCTTAAAATATTCCTTAGTTAAGGCTGAGGCCTTAAAAAAACACTCTTTACCCAGTGCAACGTTTCACATCCAGCTGCTGTCATTCTGCCTCTCTCCATGGTGCTGAAACACTCAAACCTAAGGCCTCTCTCAGTGTGCATTCTTGCCTGTACTTCATCACTGTCATCAGTCACACAGCCCGACTGTCATCAGTCACAGCCCAAGTACTGTTCCAATACAAAGTCCGCATCTAGTACAGTCCAAATGAGCGCAAGCGAATTTGCTCTGCCCATTTCATCAAGGATGCTTTAGCTGACTTGTGTTACTTGGGATAGACAGAACCTGTGCCAGACTCAGACCTGTTGTAAGTTTCATCCTACAACTATCATTGTGTCACTAAATTAAGTTTGGACAGGTCATCAGTCAGTCACAGGGCTGACACTTAGGGATGACAACCACTGGCATTCACACCTACAGGCAATTTAGAATCGCCAATTAACCTAACCTTCACGTCTTTGGTCTGTGGGAGGAAATCAGGTACCCACAGAAAACCCACGCAGACATGGGGACAACATGCAAACTCCACACAGAACCTTTTCACTGTGAGGCAACAACAACTGCAAACAACTGCACCACCATGTCGCCCTGAAAGTTTGTGCAACAGGGCTGCCTCTGTGTACTTTTGGGTCTTAGTATCATATTTCACAAAGAAATTATAAATATATATACACATGAAAATGAATAGAGGCAGTGTGGTAGTTAAACATAAGAGTGAAGATAACTGCATCTCACAGTCAATCTGGTTGAAATCTCCAAAACAGCTTTTGTTTTTTCCCCCAGAAAGCCTGTTAGAGAAGCTTTGACTTGAGGTATTTTGTCACAGAACTGTCACACACACACAGTTGTGTTGAAGTGTAGCCTAATCACTAAAGCCCAGCTGAGATGGAATGTCAGCAAGGACACTGCTGCTCCGACTGCATATTGAGCATACTACGCTCTCCTGTTCTGGGGAGTTTGGACTCCCAAGTTGAACTTAGCAAGTTGGAACCCCCAAGGACGCGAGCTGGAACTTTGCGTACTCTGTATTGAGAAAGGCCTCCAGTCTCTCTGTCTGCTCTCTCCGTGGTGCTGAAACATTCAAACCTACTCTCTCCCCAGACATTTCTGTTCCTCCCTGTGGTCCTCTGTGACATCTACTGCTACAACTAATATTACCGTGGCTCTGTCTGAGCTGTATTTAGTTAGCTGTTTTCACATTGATAAAACATGAAAAAGTAATTGAAATATTCATACAGCAGAAACAGAGAGAGAGAGAGAGAGAGAGAGAGAGCACATACACATGTGTATGTCTGATCTGGTATTATTATACTTATGAGGAGCAACTCTTGAAAGCTCAGGCAGTCCCGATGATAATTTGGTTTTTGACAGCTGGTCCTGGCAGCTGAAAAGGCTGATATTTCCTGATTAAGATTAGGGATCTGGTTACAAATGGGTTTAGATTTACTGT